GAGGACAGAAGTTTTCAGATCCGTTGAATAATACCTGGGAGTTGAGTAATTTCTGGATGACATGGTAAGTTTTTGTTTAGCTATACATGAAACTGCGAAACTGCCTTCCAAAGCGGTTTCACCCCTTTGCACTCCTGCAGAAGAGTGCGTGTTCCTCTGCATCCGAAAGAGCCCGTGATAGTACCGGTTTTTAGAAGATCTGAGCCATTCTAGCAGGAGTGTAGTGGGGATGGAGGTTTGGATGTGTGTTTGACTCTGTCTTCGACTCAGAGGAAACATCTAAACACAGATTTCAGACGTCACCAAATTACCACCTCAAGTTTGTTTTTGAATCACATGCAAAACGCAATACACAAATGCGCAGCACACTTGTGGCCAGGGCCCAGCTGACGGACACTGCCCATATGGGGCTGCTTTCGGGAATCTCCCTCTCCCGCTGCCAGCTTCCCAGCCCTGTCTCTCCGGTGATTCCCCCAGATCACTGGGACGGCTCATCTCTCGACCCTCTCCATTTTTTCCTGTAACTCACATCCTGCGTGTCCTCATTTCTTCCCTTGCCAAGCTTAGATTCCATGACCCAGTATTATAATCATTCTCTCTTATCTTTCAGCTTCTTTGCCCCTCTCTCCCTCTTTTTTATTCCCCTGGCAAAATTCCTGCCTCAGTTAAATTCTACTCTCCTCCTGGTGTCCATCTGTTTCTGGGCAGCTCAGTTTGGCTGGAGAAACCCCAAGCCGCGTGTCTGCTCTGACTGCAGGGGATCCTGGCGCTAAGCACTGACTGCCTTCTCCCTCCTCCAACCCTCTCCCTTCCGCCGTCTTCTCTCCCCTCAAACGGGCGACCCTCTTTTCCTCTCCTCGTCCAGCTGATGGTGTCGCTTCTGATTTCGTTGAGAAAAGAGAATCCATTAAAAAAGACCTTTCGCATGTCTCCACTCCAAATCCACTTCACTCCTGAAGCTTTTTCTACTCTTATCCCTGTTATCAACTTTTACCTATCTATCACTTTTCTTATCAGTTGTACTGGAAAAGCTCCCATCTTAAAATACAACAACCCTGGACCACATTTCTTCCAACCCCTGCCTGCCCTCTGTGGTCCCTGCAACTAAGCTCCCTAAAGATTTGTCTGCTCTTACTGCTCACATTCCTAGACCTACTCTAGTCTACTGGACCCCCTCTTAGTCATGTGCACCAACAGTGTTGACTTTGACAGACTCAATGGTCACATCTCAGGACCCAGATACTTGACCGACCCAAGCACGTACCCAGACATCTGCTCATGAAAATCGTGAAGTTCTTCCCTTGGCCCCTGTGACCTCACCTTCTTGGTTTCCCCCAACCCAAAACCCTCGTTGTTACTAAATAATTAATTTGATGCAGTACATGATTATTCCAGTGTTCGCAAAATTAAACAGCTTCTTGAAATACCTGACTCCCACCATACACTTCTGCTCAGGGATTTCTTTGCCACAAACACTATCAACTGTTTTATAATATTTTTACTCCTATGAAAAAGTTTAGGCAATCAAACAAAACAAAATTCTTTCTATTGAAAAGTTAGGGTTTATAAAAAGTTACCTTTTGCTAGAAACCCAGTTTCATTGGGTTCACAAGTCTTTTACTAGACTAAAGACTCCTTAGTGTATTTTTCAAAGACTTGTTTTGAGGATCAGAAAAAGTAATCTTACTCATCAGATCATCATTTCATTACATATCAGTCCTTAAAAAGTTAAGTAAATTTTTCTAGAATTTTGTCCAGTTTTCCTAAGAGACTGTCAAAGAATTTGAGTAGTACACCCAAGACTGAAATATTTTAATTACATTGATAGACAAATTAAACTATAATTTCCATATTCAAATAACTCTTAACAGTTGTAAATAACTGTTATAGATAATCTGTCGATACAATTGTTTGGTTGTATTTAAATTTTTTCAGTCCCTACATTAAGTTGTCATCTCCTGGAAAGGGGATGTAGATATACATACAGTGATTTCCTATAACAGATGAGAGGAAATAAATCAGTAAATCGACGTAAAGAAGTTTGGGGAAAAGGGAGGGTGCTTTGGGTTTCCTGCTACTTGGTTACTAACTGTGCAGCCATTCTGTGCCAGCACAAGCAGACCCCTTTGGTGATGCCCTTCAGACTTCATTAACAAAGAGAACCTGGGGTCCCTCAGTCATGACAAAGAGTGTGGGAATTAGGCTGAGTAATTAGAGATTAAAGAAAATGGGAGTTTGCAAACCAAGTTAAAGCAAGCTGAACAGACACAGGACTCCTAGTTTCTCCTCGAGGCTACACATAAACTCTTGACTCCTGTATTCCTGAGGTGTTGTACAGGAACTTAGACCCCCACCAAACGGGTCATCTCCTGACTGCAAGCATGCAGACCCCAGACTGGCCAGTCAGAAGACTGGGAGCTAAGACTCCTGAAACGATGCCGTCACCTCACCACTGACCGAGCGGAAGATGGGCATGAGCTGACCACACACCCTGCAACTCTTTCCCACGATTTTGTCTTTAAAAGGCCTGCCTTTAAAAAGCTTTTGGGGAGCCCGGGACCTTGGGCGTTGGCCACCCACTTGCCTCACATGGCTCCCTGCTGTAAATGCCCACTGTCTTTCACTACATCCTGATGTCAGAGTTTGGCTTTGTGCCAGGCAGGCACCCCCAGGTGTGTCTGATTCAATCACAATTCTAAGGCATTGTCTCTTCCTCTCTAAGACCTGGGTGGTGATACTGGCCACACAGATCTATTCCCAGCCGTATGGTGAGAATTAAACAGAATCACATTGCTAAAAGTGCTTTTTAAGTTGTAAAAATTCAAGTAAGAAATTACTGTTATGATTGAGATTGCAAACAATTTACTCAACAAAATTCCCTACAGAGAAAGAAATCTCACTCAATTAGAGAGGGGTAAATTTTGAATAGATTATTATTCAAATGAATTCGTTATCCATTATTTCTTAATTTTGAAAAAGGAAATGAACAGATCAAAACCACAGTGACATATCATCTCACACCAGGTAGAATGGCCACTATCCAAAAGACAAGAAAGAACATAAGTTATTTGTTAAATAAATAAAATAATTGCTGACGAGGATGTGGAGAGATGGGAACGCTCTTACACTGTTAGTGGGAATGTAAATTGGTGCAGCCACTGTGGAAAGCAGTATGGAGGTTCCTCAAAAAACTAAAAATAGAAATACCATATAAGCTAGTAATTCTACTTCTAGGAATTTATCCAAAGAAAAAGAAATCCCTGATTTGAAAAGATATATGCAGTCTTATGTTTATCACTGCATTATTTACAATAGCCAAGATATGGAAGCAACCAAAGTATCTATCAACAGATGAATGAATAGAGAAGAGGTGGTACATATGCATAATGCAATATTATGCAGCCACAAAAGAGAAAGAAATCCTGCCATTTGCAACAACATAGATGGACCTAGAGGGTATTATGGTAAGTGAAATAATACCGGCAGAGAAAGACAATATGATTTCACTTATTTGTGGAATCTAAAAACAAAACAAAATAAAATGAACAAAATAGCAGTAGACTCATAGATACTGAGAAGTGACTGGCAGTTACCTGGGGGAGGTCGGGAGGCAGAGGGGGAAAAAGGGGGCACAAAAATTCCCAATCATAATATAAGTTGGTCATGGGGATGGTGGTACAGCATGGAGAATATAGCCCATGACTCTGTAACATCTTCCTGTGGTGACAGTAACTGCACTAGTTGGGGTGAGGATTTAATAATGTGATAACAACTGAACCACTGTGTTATATATTTGGAACTAATATAAGATTGCATATCAAATGACACTCATTCAAAAAAGGAAATGAAAATTCCGTATCTGGCACTCTGTGCCCCTGTTCCTACTACCAAAGAGCATTATGTTGTGCTGTGTCATAAGTCACTAGAGGTGCAGTGAGGGGTTCATAGGCTCTGAGGTCTCGAGCTCCCCCCTCCCACTGCACAGCTCTGGTGTCTATTTCACATGTCTATTTCTTCTGGGGTGGGGGACTACCCTCCCTCTACAGAAGTGATAATAGCAAACTGGCCTGTATCCATAAGCATGTATGTACAGCAAATACACACTTCAAGCTCTTCGTGGGAGCACCATAAATAAATGTTTAATTCCCAGATGGAACAGAGTAGAAGGGAAGAGCTGTGAAATGTCAAGAGCGTCAAGGTTAAGGCTAAGCTCTGTTGATTATCAAATACATGACCTTGGTAAGTAACGTTACTGGTGCTCAGTTTCCTCATCTGTTAAATGAAGGATCGCAAGAGAATCCCTTCACCACCACCACTGACAATTTTCTATAAACTTTGATCCTCATTTATTTTAGCCACCTATTTATCCCTCCTTGATGTCACACTTGCCAAGGAACACTCTGGCCTCACATGACATCATCTGTGACATCTAATCCTATGAAGTTCCTAGCCCTGAACAGGCACACTTTTTTCTAGAAACATAACCCTATGCTGATTGTTCATCCCTGAGCTTCAGAAACACACAAACTGCTATTTTAGAAATGCGATCTGTAGTTAATGCAAGAAAGCAACATTCAGAGAAAATGAAACTATGAGCACTTGAGATTTAACAAAGGAAATTTCGCCTTTCATGTCCATAGTGTTTACGCCTCACCCAGTTCAGATCACAGTGCGCTTTGATCGGCGTGGCTTGGCACGGCTTCTCCATTCATAGATACGGCATTTGGCTTTGAAGCGAAACAAGGATATGAAAGTGCTACATGCCAGCAAAGCAATTCCACGGTAGCCACTTATAATCACATTTACTTTCAGAACTCTCTGTTGTTCCAGAGAGAGAATTTTAAACAAAAGATAGCAATAAGCAGAAGTATAGGGTACAGTGTGGTGTGCAGAATTGCCAGTAGTTGGAAATACGTCTTATTTTTAAAACCCTTAGAACATATTTTTCTTCATAAAAGTGAACTATTATGTCACAACAAATACTGAATCTTTAAACTTACATTATTGAATTTGCATCCAGCATAGACGTATTCTTCCTTTTCAAAAGAACCTGCAAAATAAGCATTAACATTAGAAAATAAAGGTCAATGTTATCTTTTACTATTGTTTTCAATTAAAGTTCTGACCAACTAAGTTCTGAGACCACGAGATCTTGGCCTGAGCGGTGCACTCGGAATCCTCTAAATTACTCAGCAATTACTGGACAAAAAATAGTGGAGGCATCACTGGCCCCAAATGTACATTTTTTGTGATGCTCTTTGGAACATAAAAAATAGTTAACATAGTAACGTAGACCTCATCATCTTACCTTGCTTCCCACTTTTTCCTTCATTTTCAATCCTTAGTTTTATATGGAAAAACAGGGAGAAAGGACCTTGGTTTTAGACATGTTTTCAACACTTAAGTTGAGTAAGAAGGGATAGACTGTAACAACGTTATAGGCATCTACCTCTCAAATCCCTCTCTGCTGTCCATGTGCACAAACACAAAATCCTAGACGGACATATCCATCTCTCTCCCTGGCTCCCAATATTCTTTTGACTTCAATCTCTGTGCTCTAATACTCAAAAACAATTTCTTTCAAACACTAGGGATTTAATCAGTGCTTCCTAGAGCAATTCACCAAAAAAAAAGAGGAAAAGAAAAAACTGTGAAAGGTTTTAAAAGGATGCTGGTTATCATGGAAATACTGCAGCTTCTGAACTTTCTCTTAATTTCTGCCACAGATACGGCTAGCCATACTGTCCATATGTAAGATTAGAAGTTTATCTTTCTATTTACTTTCATATTCCCTTTTCACATTCTCTTTTTTCTACCCTTTTCATCTTCCCTATGAAAGGAAAGCCTTTTCTAGTTTGCTGATCTCTGAGATTCAACTAAAGAAAAAAATGGGGATAAACGAATAAATAAATCAAGCCTTAGCCAGCCTCGTCCAGGCTATACCTCTTTCCCTGCTGTACGTCGTTCTTCAAATGATAACCTACGTTCCTCAGCAGAGCATATCAACAGTTCTTCCTTCTACTCTGACACCTCTGCTCCAGAACCAAATTCTTACAAATGTCCATGGAAAGTTTGATTTCTTAAGACTGGCATTTCCACTCCTTCCAAAGTGGAAATAAATGAATGAGAACAGTTTTATTTAGCATACTAATAAGATAGGTCATTTCTGCTCTCAGGTCATTACAGGGTATCTTGTTTTCATCTTCCTGGAGATAATGGTCTCCAGAGGAGTGGCCAGATTCAAGGAAAATTCCAGGTTCCCAGACAGGAATGTCGAGGAAAGCAGAATATGACATGAAGTGTCCATCATATTATACTTACTTTGTTGTTCTAGGTCCCCAATCTTCGATTTTAAGTAAAGTCATACTGAAATTCATAACAATTCAACTATTGCACATGTTGGTCTACTTACCAACAGCATCACCATAATCCCAGAAAAAGGAGCCAGATGCTTCTCTCTTCTCTCTGTTCATCTAGGCAGAAAGGATTCAGATAGCTGCGGGAAAAAAGCAAAAATTGTATTTTTAGTTAGAAATACCTAAGGCCAAACTCTCATAGAACTATTTAGAAAAATGTCAAGTTCTTTCTTAAACATCTTTATCAAATGTCCACTTAGTTTATCTTTCCAGTGATAGGAAACTTAAAAAACATCCTCAAGCAACCTATTTCTGCTCTGAACAGCTCAATTTGAAAATAAAATAAGTGATAGCCATAGTATAACCTCTCAAAAGCCTTCCACTGGGAAAAGAGTAGATGTTTTTGTAATTCATGAAGTGCTAACATGATGATTATACCATACTGATTGAAGGTGCACCCCTCCGTCTCTTTGTCTACCACAAACAGAGTAATACCAAAACTGCCAAAGTCATTGGATCTGGGCACCTGGGAGCTGATTTTAAAGTATGACCAGTAGGACTCCAGGGATACGAAGCTTGAGTAATTATCTGGGCAACCTGTTCTGCTGGAAGCTTAACTTCTCAGGAACCTTCTTCCTATCATCCTAAACTCCTGTGCCCTCTTCCTATCGTCCCACAATGGAGACAGGGCTCAAGGATTTGATCCTGACCACTTCGCAACATAAACTGCCAAAGTCATTGGATCTGGGCACCTGGGAGCTGATTTTAAAGTATGACCAGTAGGACTCCAGGGATACGAAGCTTGAGTAATTATCTGGGCAACCTGTTCTGCTGGAAGCTTAACTTCTCAGGAACCTTCTTCCTATCATCCTGAACTCCTGTGCCCTCTTCCTATCGTCCCACAATGGAGACAGGGCTCAAGGATTTGATCCTGACCACTTCGCAAGAGAAAGCTGCATCATGAGGGGCAAATTATACAATGTGAGGGATAAAACAACCTTACTTTGGGAGAGGATGCGTTACAGTGGAAATTCCTTAAGGGAAGCATTTTGGTCTCATATAAAATACATTTACTTCATTAAATTTTTCCTATAGAAAATGAAAACTTAGGGGTAGTTCCTCTCTTCTTTCTTGGCAAGAGCAATATACTAACTTGAAATTCAAATAGATCTATGATTCAAGTTAGTCCTTGAAAACTACAGATCTAGTTCTAATTTGAGGGGTCCTTCGGGACTTTACAAATTTTCAAAAATGGCAGCCAATATCTCTAATAATGATGTATATTTTTAGCTGATTTTACTTTCAATTAATGCTGATTAGGAGTTCTGATTTGCTATTATGAATCTTTGATGTAAAACAGAAAGATGAATTATTACTGCTTAATAATCTGCTTGTTTGCTAGATAAAAATCTCTGATTACAGGGAGAAAAATGATAAATTAAATATAACCTAAATGGATAAGCTTGAGGACCCTTACCTAGCCTTCATATAAAACCTAGGAGAGAATTCTTAAGTCAGAAAACATAGCTGTTTTAAAAATAATAATAGGAAGATGTTTAGGTCAGGACAGCTTGGAACTGGATCAAATGCTCAAATATATCATCGACTAATCTCACTCCCAACTTCTTCCCTTCCTCTCTCTCTCATATATGCACACATGCACACGCTCTGACACACGCATACACACATACAAACACACAGATCAATAACTGCACTGCCAATGGAGCCCCTCTCCCATCACTGGCCTCGTAGCCACAGACAGATCTGAGAGACACAGGCCCAACCGGAAGGTCCACTGGAACGGGAAGGTGGAATCCCAAGCTCGGTCTCCTGGTGGGATGTTCCTGGAACCGCTGCTGTTCTGGCTGGAAACTGCCTTGCCGGAATGCATCCTCCATGAGTGGGGAGAGGGACCCCATCCAGAGCAGCAGGAACTTTAAGAAACCACTGCCACTAAGGTGGTACCCGACGCTCCCCTGTACAGAACAAGCCAGGGTTAAGCCCTCCAGTTACGTACCTGGTAACGAGGAATTCATTTCAGGAGGCACAGAAAGCTGAAACCCAGACTACTGCTTAAATTCAACAAAACATCCATGGAATTCACTAACAGGAAATATGACTAAAATGTCTGATGCGGTGTTTAAAAAAAAAAAAAGGAAAAGCTTACAAACTCCAATATGTAAAACACATAAAGACTTCTTTTTTCAGAAGCTCAACTGTATAACCACATTTACTTTCCTGAAAGTCAATCAACAAGAATACAAATCAATGTGATATTGGGCTTCAAAGTGTTAAAATTTGGTATCTAATGCTTTTGTGTGAGTTTTTTTACTATACTCTTTTTGAAGGTTCAATTTTATTAAGAAATGAAATTTAATTAAAGAATTTATGGATATTTATGAAACACCTCTGCAAAATAACAGTTTGAAAAACATTGGCTTAATTCAGATAATAATCTGACCATGAGAATGGAGAATTTTTAATACTATTTCCCCCAGTCACAACTAACTGGTAATTGAAGAACAGATCACATCTGCTTTCTTCCAGTTTGGGATTAGTCCTATGTTTACAGTCAAAACTTATTCCCACAAACTTTCTTAAAGACTGGGTGAGATTAGGCAATCAGCGCTCATCAAGAGCTGGTAAAGGAAAGGGAGAAGTGGATTCAGTTAAAATAACTGCCCGACAGTGGAGATGTCGCATTGCTTCCCCACCACGAGGCCATAGTTCATAGGGCCCACGAGACCAGGTGTACCGGTGGGAAGATGATTAGATCAGCAATGTTCTATTTCTTGAGAGAATGAACTATGAAACACGGAGAAAGCCTGCCACTTATCACAGACACACAAAGGCTGTATAACAATCTAAGTCTCTTGCTGGGGCCAAAGAATCTATTACAGGCTGAGATCCTTTGGGCGCAGGTTGTTAGTGAAACAAAGACGGTCCCGAATGCTCAGCCTTGGTAATGGCACAACACTGGGCTGAAATTTTGCAAACTTTTGCAATCGAATCCTGAATTTCTCCATGAAATCTAGGGCTGTTGTACTTGTTGTTCTTAGATTTTCACAAGATTTCCTTTGTCAGTTCACGCACATCCCTCTGATAAACACCACTCTTAACTAGCTTAAATGGGTTTCTGTTTCTTGCAAGAAAAAGTAGCTGATTCAATGGATTATGATCTTTATTACATTCTGCTGTAAAGAAACTTCACTGTGGAGTTCATTTGTTTTTAAGAATTTAAATAGTTGCATAGAATAAATGTCTTCTCTGCTCCTAAAAATAAAAATCCATCCTGTCTCTCATCTTAAATATTGGCCAGTCTATATATGGCCCACTTCTATTATTTTGAGAAGAGCGAACAATTCTAAACAAAGGTTTTCACAAAGAACCAAGCCAAAATTATATAGTCAAAGGCACTAGGCGCCATGTAAAACCAGTGGAAAAGATACCATATTAATCTTGAGTTCAAGGATTTATATTACTTTCTATAAAATATCTAAAATATGAACTGTATAAAAGTCAAACCAGGATGCTTCAAGGAATACACACACACGGATCTTGCTTTTTTTGAAAAATAAAAACAGTTGGCTTCTCAAAAAATTTTGTTGAATTAAAATATGTCAGTAAAAATATATCTGGCTCTCTGGATATTGAATCCTGTATTATTTAGCATTAAAACCCAATGTTAGTCAATCATACATGATTATACAGTAGCAAAAGAGAATCTAATATATTTCATGTCTGGAGTATGGGAATTTACTGTTATGTTGTTCATAATATTTTCCAACAAAGCCTAATTTTGTTTTCTACACTTCAGAATATTGATTAGCCTTACTACAACGTAGATGTGTTTTATTACTAATCACACAATTACTTTGTAGCATTTTAGCTCAATGATAACTGTCATATTGTTAGGAAAAATGTAAAACAGGAAGCATCAATTTATTTTAAAAACTTTTTGAGTTCTTACTAAGTACAGGGCATGTATATTTGTGTGTATATATCTCTATATATACACACACATGCACACACACATATGCAGATATACACACACATAGATTCGTACATCAGTACTGAGGTTATGAACAATTCAGAAAATGGAATATAGTTACTTTGAAGAATCTCATAAAAGCCCAATTTCAGCTCCTTTGTAGCTGTGGTAGGTTCATCAAAGCTAGAGAAATTCAACAAAAGAAACAGGCAACTATGCAAATACTTCTACCTCCAGGAATCCCGATATTTGGTTCCAAGAGTTTGCACAGATTTGTTAGCAAATCATCCTCAGGACATCGCCTCCTGCCCACTTTCCTGCATATGTGCCCTCAGCCCCGGGTCCCTCAGATTACATTCATGTTATCCCCTCCCCTTGTGACTTAAAGTGAAGGAAAAAATGGATTTAAATCAAGAATTTTGTTTTTTTAATGAAGGCTAACGGAGCAACTGATGTTCTCAGTATAAGCTTTCTTGTTATTAAATTGGCAGAGATGAGAAGGAGACTTTATTTCTCTTTTTTTATGAGGCATATATTTTGGGGTGTAATATACTATTTCTGCAAATTACCTTGAAACCAATTTCAGAATCTCTGAAGAGCAGACATATTATTTTAGTTTTCTCTCAGATTTACCTAGTGTGAGGTATATTTTATATGAAGTAAAACATGTCAGTACACCATTTTCAAATATAAGAATCAAAATGATGTAGGAAAAAATAGGCTAATAAGGCAAACCTGGACTGGTCTGTCAGTCTCAAATGGCACTGATATAAACTGCTATAAATAGCTATACTGCGCTGATAGAAAATTCTAGTACTCACCTCTTTAAGAACTGGAGTGATCATGACAGCCGGCCCCCAAAGGAGTGCCTTGTTAATTTGATGAGCCTGAGGATCTGATGTAAACTTAGATTTTTACAGTGAAAAACCACTAATCTCATCAAAGTAATGTCTTTGTATGAATCATTGAACTCAGCCACCTCAGGTTTATGGTGACCAGCACCAAGACCAAAAAGATAAAAACAGGGAAAAGTTTAGAGTATAAGCAGTGGTTTAGGAATAAAAATCTAATTAGCAAGTGAAGCCCTGGGATCGGTTCTCTTCCCTGAAGAAAAGATAACCGGGCACTAAAGCTAAGGTCAAAACTGTGTCAAGTAATCAGAAGCCTAAGATTTTGTCATTCTTTTTTGCATTCAAGGATGCCCTGTTAATCCCACCTCCTTCACAGAGCTGTCCCTATTTCATTTCACACTGACCTTGCCTTTCTTTGAATTGTTCCTTTATAGCCAAGGCCACACAATCAGAATATAAATACACAATGTCCCATATCATACTCAGTTTCTTTCAAATCTGTGCCGTGATCTTGCTGGTTCTCTGTGCGCAGGGACCATGTTTCAACCTTGGTCTAAATTCCATATCTTCAGACAAGACACAGCTTTTGCCTTCTGCTAATCGATTGAAAGTTTTTCTTTAACTAAATATTCAAATTTGTAAATTATTTCTAATCACAGTCGGGTGCAGGGGAAACAGATTTGCCTATTTCTTTATCCGCAAAATAATATATAGGCACCCTGAAAATACTTCTACCTTGGGGAATCCTGACATTTGGTTCCAAGAGTTTGCACAGATTTGTTAGCAAATCATCGTCAGGACATCCGTCCTGCCCACTCTCCTGAATATGTGCCCTCAGCCTCTCCTTCAGTAGGAGAGACCAGGCTTCTAGGATCTATGTGGTAGAAGATCAAAGACTAGAACGATTATTAAATGTTATATACTCATGCATCAAACTTCAGACTACTGTACTTCCACTGACATGAGAATGGTAGGAAAGGGTGTACAAATAAGGCGGCAATAAGTATTTAATCCTTAATGCAGAACAGGAAATTGCTGCGAACTCTTCTCCAAATGCCCCAGGGTCTTGTTCCTATAAAAGAAAAACATTTCAATAGACATACTACCTGAAGTGGGAATTTTTTAAGTGTTAATTTTTTTTCTTTATGGGGAGAGGGAGGTTAGAGACAACCTGACCATGTTTTAATATTATTTCTCTCTACTTGAAAGATTTTCACTGTAGTAAGTTACTGAAGAGCTGATTCTCAGTTAAACACATTCCATAAAATTTACATACTGTGATTGGAATATGCATAAAGTTTGCATGCCCAGCTAACAGCACAGTTGCAAATCATTTCTAGATGAAAGATAATTTCTATACTTTCTCCTCAAGAGAGAGGACAAGTTCATAGCCACTTGAGAAAGGAATGATTTCACCCTAGACCATTTACTGAAGGCCTCCTTCTTAGCCCACGCTATAGTATCTGCTTGCTGCCAAAACAAAAACATGAGATTTGGTAGATGACTGAGCTTCTCAAGATGGGTAATAACCATAAGTACCATGTGTGTGTCCTCTGAAGCCTTGTTTTATAGGGGCAAAATCTGCTCACAGGTTATCTTGACTGATGCAATGTGTCTACTTTAAATGTAGTAATCTCTTTTAGAAATTATAAATGATGCATTTTCAAGAACAATTTTAGAAAAACTATTTCTCCAACATGTATGTCTTCTCATTCTCTCACAGTTCTTGATAAAATCAAAAATATGTAAATTTTTAAAAGCCCAATCATATATTTCAATAGCTGTGTTGAAAACAGTTTGACTTTTGATTCATATTTTTGTGATTTATATGTATCTGTATATGTGTATATATATATATGTATATTTCTAACTTGTGTCTAATTACAGGTCAATACTGAATATAGCTGTTAACCATTTTAAATTAACTCTCACTTGCCTTATTTCCAATTGCACTATGGTTTCGGAGGAAGGGATAAAATGCCCCTAATTGAATCTAATGCAGGCAAAGTTCCTAAGTTGTCTCTTCATTAAACCTGAATCTGTCAGGTCCAATCTGGGGAAAATTTTCTTGACTTTAAAATAGATCCCTTATTTTACTGTAAAACACATACTGAAATATTTCATGTTACACTATTCTTAATGCCAAACATGCTTCACACCACAAAGATATCATTTTCATGCTGTAGAATCTGAGAGTGTAAATATGCTCTTTGAGAAGAACGTATGGAATAAAACAGTGACCCGTGCCTGTCGTCCAGGCTTAACTAAAAGAAACCTGTGGGCTCCGTCATGGTGTAAGCAAGGCGTGTTTTATACAATCCAATCTAAAAATGTTTCTTTTTAAGTGCAGGTCTATCAATTTTCTGTCTCATTATGAGAAAGACAGAACATTCACGGTGCATTTAGCTAATTCAAGAGGTTTAGTGACTAACCACTCAGGGCGGGACAAAAGGCTCCATGATCATTGTGCCTAATGATGCTCTTTCCTCCTTGTCGTAAGTCACAGAATCTTTGCTTCCTGTCATCTACTGAAGGCCTCTGTCTGCCTTCAAATTGTTTTATTCCAGAGAACTTCTTGTTCTCTTAGAAATATACTCTTTAACCCCAAAGCTTCAATCAATGCCAAAGTTTGTAGGTTAAAAAGTCATGAAGAAATAGATCAGGGAGTCATAAGATATGTCGATTGTAATGAAAATGTCAGTTCTCCAAACCTGGAGGTGTGAACTACACTCTGGTGAAGCGGTAAGATCTTTGGTGGAGAAAGACCAGGTCTAGCTCTCTTCCTCTGAGGCTGCTTATATTACACATTTTCCCTTCTGTCAGTTTCTGGTCCAGACAACCTTGAAGCAATACTTCCTTTCCAAAATTTATTTAGCAATTCTTCTTCGAATGTACCTAATCCATCACTTGAAAAACAAATGCAATTCTTACTAAATTTGAAAGTTTACAACAGTTTTCTTTGCAACTTTCCAAAATAAGGCAAACATTGCTCTGCAATTTTTTTCTTGGAAACTCATTGGGATATGGGGAATCTGCCACAATAAAACTTCCAAATTTGTTAACATAGCAGCAAACTCTTTAATAGCTGAATTTTTTCTTTATCACTAGGGCTCAGATAAGAGGAAATATTTTGTTGTGTGTTTGAAATATTTTGTTGGCTTAATTTCACTTCCTCCCTTCAGAGGAGAGGGAGACACTTCCAAGTGCACTTTCTATACCTGCTTCCAAATTGTCCTTACTTTTTCCCCCATTGTCTGCAGACCTCATCACAGGTCACGGAAGAGTTGCGGGTGGGTAGAGGTGAGTGACAGAGGAAATAACTTCTCCAGTTTCAGCAAGACCATGTGCTTTAGTGACATAAAACGAACCAATAATAATAAAAATTGAGAAATATTTGTTTCTCCTGAGATCTGGATAGGTTAAGGGCAAGTCTACATTGGCTAAGTAAAGTACATTGTTCATAATGTCTTGAAAACAACTGGACTGCATTTTATCTTCACAGAAGCAGGTATTGCACCCTCAGATAATATCAACACACATATAGGCCTTAATGTTAATTGTTTAATTTTAAAACTTATAGGTAGAATTTCAAAGAGATTAAATTCTAGTATTTCAGTGATTGCCATGTGCATGTCTCTCCCATGTAAACGGCTATCACGCAACCAGGGATTAGTGTGTGTCCCACACCAACAAATGTTGAATGACTCAAAATAAATGCTTGCTTTTTGGCAGCATTCCAAGAAGCACTGGAGAAAACGTAAGAACCACTTTCTTCAGTATTATTCTAAAAAGATTCCCCCTCCTTTCTTTCAAAAAAAAATACATGATCTTAAAGTGTATGAACAATTCCCAAATATCATGGAGCACAAATATTTTATCAGAAGTATAAATCTGTGTGAACATGAAATGGAGGGAATGAAGAGAATTTTACCAATTATCATATATAAATGACTGTACACATTTTGTGAAAGGGCTGTTAAAAATGAATGCTACACATGCAGCCCCAATTCTCTTACACTAAACGCTTTAATGAGTCATACCATAGTGTAAGCAGCACAGGGTCTCAACCACGACTACATATCAGAAACTTCTGGGAGCTAAAAACAAAACAAAACGAAACAAACAATGCTAAGGCACCATCCTTGATCAATCAAATCAGACTACCTAGGAATGGGACCCGGACTTCAGCATTCTTAAAATTTCCGTGTGATTCTAATATTCAGCTGTAGCTTTTACAGTACTGTTGGAAAATACCAGTAATTTTCTTTTGATTTACTTCCTTAGTAAAACCTTACATGTACATGAAAAAGAATACGTATGATATTCAGCACCAATACTATAAGTTTTTGATTTGGCTATTCTTTTGTTTGAATTTAATGTGCATTTTTAACCACTTTTAAACCAAACTTATAAGTCAAAAATTATAAGCATAATGCAATCAGATCTAGTTGAAAGTCCATCCAGAAGTTCCACATAATATAATGTTGAGTATGTTACTCCAGTGACTATAAATGGAGGTAATAATGCTTAACTTCACAGAGTTATAATGTTTAAATGAAAACAATAACTGTATCTATATGAAAGCACCTCTCCCAACAGCCAGCCTAGAACAAGGGGACGGCATAGCTCGTTTCCTTCCTGGGCCTGGTGAACTGCCTACAGCAGCTGCAGCCCCAGATCTGCTTCGCCCTCATTGGACAGCTTGAATCTCAGTTTTAGCCTTTATTCACCTAGAACTCCACGACTAGTCATTTTGTCTCTTAAGGGCAAAAAAATGAGGAAAAAGGAAAAGCTGATTTGTTAGATTAAACTGGATGATGGCAGCTCTAATAATAAATTCAGTAAACACTTCACGCCTTGTCCAGGTAAATCTTGCTAATGCTTCCACTTAAAACTATTTTTATGCATTTCTGGGAAGTCATTTTCATTGAATTTCATTAAGTTTGGAATCTGGAAGTCATATCATTTTATACCTGAGACATGGAAAGTATTTAGAAATTAATTTTCAACACTGAAAATATTTAGTTTAGTTTAAATGTAGACATTTACTTCTTTTCTTCCTTCTTCTCCGTCTCCTCCTCTTTCATCTTCTTGCCTAAATTCCCTTATGAGTTAAACACAGTTTGCAGTTTCTTGGGTAACCTAAGTGTAAGAGGTACATCCTAAAATCTACAGAAATCAATAGAAATTTTAAGTTCTTAATAAAATAGGATAAACCTCAAATAGTCATGTCACCTAACTTTTCTCTGTTGTGCATCAATGACATATGATTCTACTGCTTTGTATTGTTATTCGAAGGCAACTTTTTTTTACTAGTATTAGAGTAACTCATTGGCAGATGTATTTAATTAGATATATTTTTTAAATACATATATTTGGAACATTGTCTATCAAGTCTACTACATGTTTATTTTTTCCTTTTCAGTCAAATCAAGACCTAAGAATTTTTCAGTAGGTACTTCATCAGTTTGGAGCTTTTCTATTGTGTGCCTCAAACAAGTTTCATTAAGTTCCCTGAAATAATAGTTCTAGAAAAATGACTACATTCCAGAACATAAGTTGAAACATATTTTTATCTAACCAAAATAATAAATTCTATCTTGATCC